AGATAGATAGATAGATAGATAGATAGATAGATAGACAAGAAAGTCACGCTCAGCATGGAGGCTCACAGCTGTAATTGTATATCACTTAAGAGGCGTAGACAGGAGGAACAGGAATTCCAGGTCTGCTTCAGCTACACAGCAAGTTCAAAGCCAGCCTGAGCAATATAAGACCCTATCTCAATAAAAGAAAGTATGAAGACAGTTCACAGAGTGGGAGAGAAACTTTGTAAGCACATTAATAAAGGAATTGTATCTGGAAATTACACAGAATTCTGGCAGCTCAACATTCAGAGACAAATGGTTCAATTGAAAAGTGGACCAACGGTAGTGAAGGCTCAGAGGTTAAGAGCACTGGCTGAGCTTCCGAGGTCCTGGGTTCAATCCCAGTACCCACATGGCAGCTCAAAACTGGTTATAACTCTAGCTCCAAGAAATTAGACACCCACTTCTGATCTCTGAGACACCCAGGCACACGTGTGGTTCACATGTATACATGCAGACAAAATACCCACACACATAAGATATTAAAATGAGAAGAACTTCCATGGTCAGATGATATAAAAAGATATTTCTCCAGAGAAGATATGGGCACAAGAGACTATGCTAAGAAAGTGGAGGCATTAGGAAATGCAAATCAAAACCACAAACAAGTGTCACTTCACACCCACACCAACTCGGGCTACCATGGTGCCCTGAGACAGAAGAGCACACTAAGACTCCTCATCTAGGCTGTGCGGTGGTGGCACACGCCTTTAATCCCAGCACTTGGGAGGCAGAGGCAGGTGGATTTCTGAGTTTGAGGACAGCCTGGTCTACAGAGTGAGTTCCAGGACAGTCAGGGCTACACAGAGAAACCCTGTCTCGAAAAACCAAAAAAAAAAAAAAAAAAAACTCCTCAGCTGCTTCCATACAATGCAGCAAGGCCACTCTCCCCCCCACCCCCCACAACCCAAGAAGAATGGAAACTGGCACCCCACACAAGACTGTATGTGAGAACCACAGCAGCATCCTTCCAAGAGCCCAGTGCACACCATCCAAAGCCCAGCCGCTGTAAACAGACAAGGTGAGCAATGCCCACACAGCAGGACCACTTGGCCACAGGAAGGATAAACCACAGGTTAGGCGGCTCCATAGCTGGACCCTGAGGACATTAGACTTAGTTAACAAAGCAAAAGTGCTATGATCTCATTTACACAACATACAAACAGTAGGAAAATCCAGAGTGCCAGGCATGCACCCCCACACTTGGGAAGTAGAGACAAGGGGAATCAGAGGATAATGGCTATCCTGGGCTACATACTAAATTCCTGAACTACATAATATAGTATCTGAAATGACTAAGAAAAAAAAAATCCAGAACAGAAAATAGATTAGTTGCCTAAGACTGAGCAGAGAGGCATGAACAGCAGCTGCTAATGAATTCAGACTCGTCTGAAGTAATAAAATTTTTCTAATACTGATCATAGTGAGGTTTGAACAGTTCTGTCACAGCACTAAAATAAACTTTTAAAATCTCTTTCCTACTGGGCAGTGGTAGCGCACACCTTTAACCCCAGCATTCAGGAAACTGAGGCAGGTAGATCTCTGAATTCAAGGCCAGCCTGGTCTACAGAGTGAGTTCTAGGACATCTAGAGCTACAGAGAAACCCTGCCTCTAAAAAACCAAAATAAGAAAAAAAAACAAAACTAAATTCTCTTCCAAAGAGAGCTAAATTATTTAAAAGAAAAGCTACCCTTAGATCTGAGTTGTAAGATTCTACCATAATAAAGACTAAAATGTAAACATTAGATGGTTAGTGCTATTAAGACATCACTGGAATCTAACAGGATTACAAAATGAATTACTTTTTAAAAATAATGAGAGATACATATAAAAGTATTTGCAGTGGCATGGTTCCTGGGAGAGAGGTGGGAAGCAGGCAGGGATACAGATGAACTAGCAACCAGCTGTAACTACCAAAGAAGTGAGATAACAGAGTTCATTATACAACCCCACATTTGCAGTGTCTGAAGTACTGCTCCCCCTCCCCTTTTCTTGAGTTGGGTGTCGGTTTTAAGACAGGTATACACAATATATCACAGGTCGCCTGGAACCTGATCTAGATACCTGGCTGACCTCAAACATGCAGTAATCCAGTTGGGAGCGATGCACTGACAGATTCAAGCCACTGTCACATGCCTGGCAGGGAAATCTGCCTGAGAAGAATGGAAATCTCTCCTTCACTTAATTTCATTAAGAATCAATTATCAATCCCAAGGCAGGTAGGATGGGGTCATTTTTCAACCACAGTCTTCAAGAAACAAAAGTACCCCGAGCTTGGACACAGTATGAGGCACATTTTTAGCAGAATAGGGCCTGCTAATAGGTTTGACCTGCACTCCCCTTCCAACCCTTCTGAATCAATGACACTACTTCAAAAAGGGATAAACTCCAAATCCAGGCTGAACCCTGACACCACACTTAGTCACAACAGAAGAAAGGATCTATATGAAACACACACAGTAGGAAAAGCCAGCTGTGGTGTGCACTGGGGAGGGAGGCTCCTGCCTCCAGCTGCTCTTTCCAAAAAGGCCATTTGATCTCTTTCACCTGCTTTGTTTGGCTTTAGACCTAATGATTTTTCTAAACTTCCTGAAACTTCCCTTAAATTTTTATTACATTTGTATTTATTTATTTTGTGTATCTACGTGCATGCCACAGTGTTTCTGTGGAAGTTAGAGGACAACCTGTAGGAGTCAGTTCTCCTATTGTGTGGGTTCCAGGGCCAAACACAGGCCATCAGTTGGCTACAAATGCTTGAGTTAGAGTTTTGATACTAAGTGTCTTGAAAGATAAACTGGTCAATTTCCTTTGGTTTCTCAATTTCAGTTCCTCCTCTAATGAAAGCAAAAGAATTTCTACTCCAGACATCTGAGTCTATGCTGGGCCCTTTGGCCACATTAAAAGGAAAAGGTTAGGACTGAGGGTGTCTTTGGTGAGAGGACACAGGCTCAGCATACATGAGGCTCTGGGTTTACTCAGGATCACAAAGTATTTCAGAGTGCCTAGTTCCCACCACTGCCCCAGAGGGACTAAGAAGCAACCCTGTCCCCAGGCTTCACTCCACTTTTTTGGAAACAGTAACAGTGAACCCTGTTAAGGGACTTAACATCAATCAGTTAGCTGAGCATCCAAAACTCATTCCTAATCGAGGAGGCAGATGCTATTGTGTATCCTCGCTTTGCTGCAAATTCCACCTTAGCTGTTGTAACTTACACAGCTTTAAAGGATGGAGAGATGGCTCAATTAGTAAAGTATCTGCTGCTGAAGCATGAGGACCCAAGTCAGGACCCTCAGACCCACGCCTGGCATGTAGTCCATACTTATAAATCCAGGACTGGTGGGCTGAGGGACAGTGAGCTCTGGAGCCAGTGAGAGACCCGATCTCAACAAATAATGGAGCAATTGAGAAAGACAGCCAAAGTTGACTTCTGGCCCTCCTACACAAAGGGCACATGCAAACACACCTGCACGAACATACATGCATGCATGCATGCATGCATGCATGCACACACACATGTGCATACACATACTAAATTAATTAACTACAATTATACAGTTTTATGTGGTAGAACCAGGATTTGAACCCAGTACATTGGGCTCCATCACTTTTGGTGGATGCTGGCACACACATTTTTTTGGTATCATTAGTGTTCAAGGATCTGAAACCTTAAATTAGACTCAGTAATTTGCTTTGGCAGATGAAGGTAAACTGAAAAACCCCTCCATCAGTCCCCTCAATAAGACCACAATTCCATAAACCTTGCTCTTGAACAACAAAAAGCATTTAACGTTTTTTTTAAAGATGCACAGAAATAACTTAAAAACTAAAAATAAAAGACCGTCCTTTGCTCCCTTTGCCCTAGCACCCTCTGCACCCCGTAAGTCTAGAGGCTGAGTGCAGGGACTCTAAAATTCAGCTGCACAATGAGAAAAACCAAACTATGAGGGTAGGCGGGTCCTCCTAAGGGAATCCAGATCCCTGTGGCCAGCAGGAGAATCAACAGCCAACACAAGCCTTTCCTGAGTCACTCCCATCTCCACACGCAACACCCAGGAATGACTTAGCACCAAAACATCATCAGGACTCTTCAGAGGGAGGCTTGAAGACACAGACTCCGACAAGGGACCAAACTTCAGTATCTCTAAGCACAAGCTGTCCACGCAGCTTACTCTCCCCTCCAGCCTCCCCACACGCTCCATCTCCCTGCTGGTGGCATTGGCTTGGGCAACGCATCTGCCCCATTTAGGTTCAGCATTGGGCAAGAAGGAAAGGGCTACAGGACACAACCAGAGACTTCAAATGATGAGCTAGAAGAAGAAACGCAGAGAACTGGAGCATGAACCAAAAGCCCAAATACAAAAGACACAACCGGGAGAGGGACGCTGAGAGGCTAATGGGCCAGCTCTGGGGACACAGGTGCAGGGAATAAGAGAGAGAAAGACAAAGCTGCCCTAACACTGAGACCTCTGGGGACCCGGAGCTGTCACTCTGGTTTGTTGTGTGTGACAGAGGTGTCGGGATCTAGAGGTGCTTGCTCTTTGCCTTCCGGAGAAAGAGGAGTCACTAGGGATAAGAGACCTGGAACAGAGAATGACTGAAAACCAGGGGCTGGTAACTGGAGCTGGGTCCCAGGAGGGACACGGAAGAAAGGGACTGAGGCAAGTACCAGAGATCTGAGAATCCGGGGTGTGAAAACCTGTCAAGGGGATCGGCGGGCTGGGAGGCTCTGGGAGGGACTGGGGAGCAAGCTCTGCTCTAGGAGTTGGCTGTCACTGATGAGGCAAAGGGACAGGAGCTTCAGCCCTGGGACAGTGGGAGCGGTGCAAGAGACTCCGGGCCAGGGCTAAGCCTGCGAGCGACCCCGCGGGGGTCTGCAGGGTGTGAGGACACCCGGCCCGGAGCGTGCGGCTGCAGCGGCGCCACTGGGCGGGTGACAGCAGCGGGGCCGCCACTCACCGCTCATGTTGCCGCTCCCGGGGCCGCTGCCTGCCTTGCCGCCGCTGCCGCCGCCGCCGCCGCGTCTGCAGCCGCCGAGCTCCACACAGGCCGGGAGACCGCGCGCCCCGCCCGCCGGCCACGCCCCGGAAGCAGGAGCCCTCCGAAGGCCCGCCTCCCGACCCGGAACCAAAATACTCGGGCGAGTTGAGGCCCCAGGGTGACAGGAAGAGAGCCGGCACCACACAAGATAAATGCCTCCCACTCCCCGAGCCAGGAAGAAGACATCCGTTTACACTGAAGTTCGGAAGGGGATGCGAGATAAGCGTACTGGGAGCTTGGAGTAGTGTGGTGCGTGTCCGTCAAACCAGCACTCGGGAGAAGGCAGGTGGATCAGAAGTTCAAGGTCAACCTTGAACTGCATAGTGAGTACAAGACGAGATTGGGCTACTTGAGACTGTCTCCAGGAGAAAAAAGAGGAAGAAAAGAGTAATGGACCTGCAGGGCCTGGTGGTACAGGCTTTAAATCCCAGCATTCCAGAGGATGAGTCAGGAACCTGAGCTACGAGAGTTCAAGAACTGAGGATGTAGCTTGGTAGAGCACATGCCTTACATGCGTGAGGCCCAAGCTTCAACTCTCTATACAAACAAAAGCAGAAGGTGAATTCAAACCCATTCTGGGAAATTTCTCGAGACTAAAAACAAGGTTGTGGAGATAGCCCAATAGTTGGGGTAGCATGTGAAAGGCCCTGGGTTCAATGTCCAGCACCACAGTCTGTGTGTGTCACTGTATGTGTGTAATGGGCCACTGTGGCAGATTAGCAATCCCAGAAGGTCTGTCTTTTAAGTCAAGCCCAGGATAGGTGTTTCAGAGGAAGAGGTCAAAGTCCATCCCTGGAAGGGTCGATTGAAACACAGGATGAGTGAGAAATGGGTGTTGAGAAGCAGGATGCTGAAAGCTGGGGACACCCTTTGCAAGCAGGAGAGTTTGTACTTTCTTGCCTGCCTCCTGATGGATGCAGGAATGGAAGGCCATTGCAAGAATTTAAGCACACTGAGAATTGGACTTTAAGAAAAACTTTTACTTGCAACCCTGGTTTGACAGTGCACTCACAGAAGAATAGAGTTACAGCCTGAGGCACTTGGGAGAACTTGTGTGTGTGTGTGTGTGTGTGTGTGTGTGTGTGTGTGTGTGAGAGAGAGAGAGAGAGAGAGAGAGAGAGAGAGAGAGAGAGAGAGAACTTTCTAGAATGAGAATAAATTGTAATGGGCCTGAGGAGAATAGCAGTTGAGTTAGGGAGGTACGAGAGTTGTCCAAGTGACTCTGGGCAACAGTGAGAGAAAAGGTGGGTGGGCGCTGAGGGAATATAAGAGTTAAATTCACAGCAACTATGAAGTCCAGGCGTTTGCCCCATTTTAAAGCTGGAATTTTAAGACTATTTTCCCTGCTGGGTATGAAGCTGAGGCTGGAGTCACCCGGCCTGGGGAACTTAGTCTCTTGGTCAGAAATATGAAAATCATGAAGAGCTAGCTGCTGTAGCTCAGTGGAAGCACACATGTGTGTCACCCTGGATTTGATTCCCAATGATAGAAAGAACCAGGAGGCGACTAAACCACGCAGGCTCCCCTTCACCAGTGGTCTTGAGCTCTACAGAGATTCACATGGGTTCAGCTAAAGTCTTCCACCTTCCGCCCTGTGAGGATGCATCCACACTCTCACCAGACGCTAGCATCTTGATGTGGAGCTCTGCAGCTCCACAAATAAGGCAGACCAAGTGTGGTATAGGTGATGCATTCCTATAATCCCGATCCAAGGGCTGGGGCAGGAGAATCAAGAGCTTAAGGCTAGCCTGTAAGGGAAATGAGACATTTTGATACTTCACACATTGCCAAGCCTCAAATGTCTTGTTACAGTTTCACAAATTAAAACATTCACTCACTGGCTAGTACCCTACTCAGACTCACTCAGTGCCCCTCTCCTCTCCCTTCCCCTCCCCTTCTTCCCCTCCTCCCCTCCTCTCTCCTCCCCTCTTCTCTCCCCTCCTCCCTCTCTTCCCTCGCTTCTCTTCTCTTTACTCCCGTGTGTGTGTGTGTGTGTGTGTGTGTGTGTGTGTGTGTGTGTAAGCTGGAAGTTGAACCTAGTACCTTGAGTGTGCTAGGCAAGCATTCTATTCTACCACTAAGCCACACCCTCAGTCCTGACATCATATATAAGGTGGAGGTAATAATGGTCTACCTTCCTTATAGTATTTTGTATGTGTAAAATGACTTACAGCAGTCTTTGGCACCATTAAGCCTACATAGTGCACACACCTGCAGTTGAGCTGAAAACAGTACCAGGTTCATGTTTGTCACAGTTAGCAATAACACATGCATTTGTATGAGCATGCTCACACCTGCTGCATTGCACACAGAATTAGATTGGCTTCTACTTACAGAAAAACATGGGACAGTCTTTCTTTCTTTGGCCATCAGGAGAATCCAGTTTGTCCTGAAATATACTGTGTTTGTGGGTGCCTCAGTAGAAACATGATTCTCTGGGGCCTATAGATAGTGGAGAGCTTTTTGTTTCTTTTCTTTCTTTTGTTTGCTCTTTCTTTCTTTCTTTCTTTCTTCCTTTTAAGGCAGGATTTCTCTGTGTAGCTTTGGCTGTCCTGAAACTAGCCCTGTAAACCTGGCTGGCCTCAAACTCACAGAGATCTACCTGCCTCTGCCTCCTGAGTGCTAGGATTAAAGGCATGCATCACCACCACCTGGTTTTGGTTTTGGTTTAGAGAATCAAAAGTTCAGCCATGGGCTGGAAAGATGGCTTAGTGGTTAAGAGCACTGACTGTTCTTCCAGAGGACCTGGGTTCAATTCCCAGCACTCACATGGCAGCACACAACTGTCTATAACTCCAAGATCTGACACCCTCACATCTACATGCAGACAAAACAACCAATACATATAATAAAAATAAACAAAATTTCAACTATAAAACTAGAATTAAAGGACAAAAAGCTGTATTCTCAGTTGATTAACAGTCATCCTAAAGACATCAAAGCATCAGCTCTCCTTCTGACAGAAGGTTCTCTAAGCAGCTCTACACCCGTTAGAAAGCTCATTATCTAGCGTGAGTTGGCTTCTCCATCCCCATTATATTTTGCAAAGCAGTTGGCACACTTGACTTGCCATAGTCACCCGTTTTTGTGGTGACAAGAATGGTTGCCCCCTCCTCCATGGCTGGAAGTGGGAAGAAATGGTCAGAATCACCCTTGGGGTTGCTCTTGACACAGTCGTCACAGGTGCATTCTTCCACTGTATACTCCAGGCTTCGGGGAAGAATCCTTTCGTCACCAGCCCTGCTCCTGCCTGGCTCAGTATCGGCCTTGTCCAGCTGAATGGATCCTGATGATACAAAAGCAGGCAGGCATTCACCTGAAGGACCCAGTGGTATTGTCATGCCATGCACAGCAGGACACAGCAGGACACAAAGCAGCACAAAACCAAGAATGAGTGTATGCTACACTGAGATCACCAACTAAGACACCAGCCCTGGCCCTGAGGCAGGTTGTTGCTCTGCTGGAATATGGAGCTTTTGAATCTTGTCTTACGTTGACCACATTTAAACCTCAGGTTATATCACATGAGAATCTACACAACTAGACTTTATAAAGACTATAAAATGTGACATCAGGAGGGACATGGAGACTACGGGCTGGAGTCCACAACATTGCTGCTACCTGAGTGCTATGAGCACATGATGGGTACCCTTGCTGGTAAAGCCACAAATGAGACCAGTCAAGTACCTATTACCCATTTGGCTCTTGGAAGTTATAAGGATTTGACCTCATCTTACACAAGAAATTGCCATATGTCACAGCACATCAGAGTCATCCTGTGAGTGACATTTTGAATACAGAAGCAAAAGCTGAGCATGGTGGCACATGCCTGTAATCTAGCCAGTCAGAAGTCTGAGGCAGGAGGAGTTTGTTCAAGAAACGCCCTGAGTATTTCTGAGTTCGAGAGTTCGAGGCCAGCCTGGTCTACAGAGTGAGTTCCAGGACAGCCAGGGCTATACAGAGAAACCCTGTCTCGAAAAACCAAACCAAAAAAAAAAAAAAAAAAAAAAAAAAGGCCCTGAGTTCAGTCTCCAATACCAGAGGGGGAAAGGATATGGAGGTACTTTTTGAGTTTAATTGTTGTGATGGGATAGGTCACATCACAGTGCACCTGTGAACGTTAGGAGAGCTCATGGGAGTGGATCAAACTCAGCAGCCTAAAGAGGCTTGGCAGCAGATACCTTATCTACATGACATCTTGCCAACCCCTAAAGATGAGTCCTGATGTCTGCTGTGTCCTAGTTTTCCTAACATGGCATCTTAAGGAGCATTTTTCAGCACGTTATTTGTGTGTGTGCATATGTAGCAGGATCTCATTCTGTAACCCACGTTAGCCTAGAAATCACTGTAGCCCAGGCTGGCTTCCAACTCATTTTATTCTATAATGTGTATCAGTGTTTGCTGCATGTATATGTGTGTACCATCTATATGCCTGGTGCAAAAGAGTTATTGGATCCTCTGGAACTGAAGTAACAATAGGTTATAAGCTGCCATGTGGATGCTGGAAACCAAACCTTGATCCTCTGCAAGAGCGGCACATACTCTTAGACAGTGAGCCATCTCTCCAGCTCATGGCTTCAAATTGTTCATGACCTTCTGTTTGCTTCAGCCTCCACTGATATTACAGGTGAAGACCATGTTCCTGGATAAGTAATTTTTAAATGAATTTCCTTTGATTTCCATATAGAAGCCCAGTTTGTCTCCAGTACACATCTGTGAAGAATGGGTTTTAACAGTATTTGTTGCACCTAGCAGCCATGTTGGCACATGCCTTTAATCCTAGCACCTGGGAGAGAGAGGCAGGCAGATCTCTGAGTTTGAGACCAGCCTGGTCTATAAAAGAAGTTCTACAGCCAGAACTACATGGAGAAACCTTGTCTGTAAAAACAAACAAACAAAATACTTGTTGCACAAGCCTGATGACTTGAATTCAGAACCCACCACAAATGGGGAGCAGCACCAGGCATCTGTAATCCCAACTCTGAAATGAGGTTAAAGCA